GAGAATTTTTGGGTGTGCAGTATATGTCCCCATTGCACCACCACAAAGGACAAAAATAGGTCCTCAAAGAAGTTTGGGAATATATGTTGGTTGTGAGTCAGTTTTTATTATAAGATATCTTGAACCTTTAACATGTGATGTTTTACAGCACATCTAGCTGATTGCCAATTTGACGAGGAAAATTTCCCATCATTAGGGGGAGAAAAGAAGATTATAGAAAAGGATGTTTCATGACATGAGCCTTCTTTATCATATCTTGACCCTCGCACAAAGCAATGTGAAATGGAAGTTCAAAAGATAATGCATTTCCAAGAAATGGCAAATCAATTGCATGATGCATTTACTGACACGAAAAGGGTGACTAAATCATATATACTAGCTGTCAATATTCCAGCTTGAATTGAAATTCCATATGGAAAATCTAATGATAAAGTCACTCAAGTGTCTAAAACACGCCTGAAGCATGGAAGACCATTTGGTTCTAAGGATAAAAACCCACGAAAAAAAAGAGGAGTAGAAAATGAACTAGATCATGAGGAAAGTGATTATGGAGAAACACGAAATTCAAAATTCCCCCAAGAAAGGAAGATGTTGCACTAAATTATGGTCAAACAAATCGAATATGTGAATAAAATGAAACTGATAATATAAGTGCAATATTTTCTTATTCAGTTGCATCTGATATTACGAATGATGATCCTGAACCATAATCTGTCATTGAATGTCAAAGAAGAAATGATTGGGCTAAATAGAAGGAGGCTATGCAAGTTGAATTGAACTCTCTTAACAAGAGAAAGGTTTTTGGGGCTATTATCCTCACACTTGGAGTTGTGAAACCATTAAGGTATAGATGGATCTTCGTACGAAAAAGACATAAGAAAGACGAAATTGTAAGATACAAGGCTAGGCTTGTGGCTCAAGGTTTCTCTCAAAGACCTGAAATTGATTATGAGGAAACTTATTCACCAATAATGGATGCAAGCACTTTTAGGTATTTAATCAGCTTGACAGTCTCTGAAAATTTAGAGATGCGCCTTATGGATGTTGTTGCAACTTACTATCACCTGATAGTGATATCTATATGAAAATCCCTAAAGGATTTGAAATGCCTAAAGCATTAAGTGAAAAACCCAAAGAAATGTATTCTATAAAATTGCAAAGATCTTTGTATGTGTTAAAGCAATCTGGACGCATGTGGTACAATTGTTTAAGCGATTATTTGACAAGTAAAGCTTATAAAAATAACACTATTTGTCCATGCGTATTTATTACGAAAACAACATCTGGGTATGTGATTATAGCGGCCTACGTTGATGATCTAAACATCATTGGAACGAATAATGAAATCCTTGAAGTGACTGAACTTTTAAAGAAGGAATTTGAAATGAAATATCTTGGTAAAACCAAATATTGTCTTGGTTTGCAGATTGCGCATATGGCTAACAGAATACTTGTGCATCAATTAAACTATATAGAAAGAGTGAAACATTTCAATATGTCCAATGCCAATCCTTTAAGCACCCACTGGTTGTTAGATCATTAAATATTGACAAATATCCATTTCGTCCTCGCGAAGAAAATAAAGAAGTTCTTGGTCCAGAAGTACCACATCTAAATGCAATTGGGGTTCTAATGTATCTTACCAATTGTACTAGACCTGGCATTTCTTTCACTATAAAATTGCTAGCAACGTTCAGTTCATCCCCAACAAAAAGACATTGGAAAGGGATTAAGCAGATTTTGTGATATCTTCGAGGAACTACTGATTTAGGGTTATTTTATCCTAATGATTCAAAACAAGCGGTTTGATTGGTTGTGTTGATGCAGGCTATTTATCTGATCCTCGTAAAGCTAGATCTCAATTTGGATACGTATTCATGAAAGGAGGCACCGTAATTTCCTGCCGCTCTCAAAAGCAAACACTTGTCGCCACATCCTCAAATCATGCTGAAGTAATTGCACTAAATGAAGCTAGTAGAGAATGCAAATGGTTAAGCTCGATGAGACAACTTGTTTTGTGTAACACCCCATCTCTCAAGTAACTTCAAATTCATCCCTTGGATTTTAATTATGTCATTTTTGGCCCTTGGTTTGGAAAGAAGTGTCAAAAGGAGGCCCTAGTGGCAAAATGGTGATTTTGGGAGTTTGAGTAGTACGCAGGGCGTACATGTGAGTAGGCTAAGCGTACTAGGGCATGCCCTAGTACGCTGGGCATACACAGATGTACAATGTGCGTATGAGTGCTAGAGTGAAACCCTAACTTTAGGGTTTGGATGGTATTTAAGCACCATTATGGATCTTTTTTGCTTCACTCTTTCAGCCTCCAAGTCTTTGAACCGATCTTAGCAAACCCAAGCCCATGAGAGAGAGTTTTAGAGCCTGAAGTGTGTTGTTGGTGTGGTTGAATGATAAGAAAGAGCATCAAAGGAGTCAAGGAAGGAATCAAGCTCGTAGATTTGGGGTTTTCATCTTCCGGGGAAGCTTTAAAAGGTATAAAGCTTCTAACTTTATGTTTAGATAGCTTAGATCTCATTTGGGTTGCTTCTTAGTATCTTTCTTGTCCCAAGAATGTCATTTGGTGCATGCTTTGTTTTGGTCGATTTGGGCTGTCCTTTCAGACCCTAGGATGGGTCCTAAGGCATAAAAATGAGGCCCCTTGAGCTAGTTGGTCCTTTATCCCTTGTAGAAGGTCTTAATGGATTAAGACCATGCATTAAGCCCTTTTTGGTCGAACAATGTCTTAAAGTTTGAGACTTTATGGTTCTAGAGCACATTTGAGTAGTGGATCTGAAGTTTGAGCTCAAGTGCTTAATCTATTAAGAACTTATGGAAGTTTTAAGGCTTGTGAGGGTACGCCCCGCGTAAGGTTGCATACGCCCCGCGTTCGGAGTCAACCACCCCGTAAGCGGTCAATGCGAGGCGAGGTATGCCCAACATACCGAAGGGGTACGCCCCGTGTACGTCCTCTGTTTGGAATTCGGACTTTGGGCTTTGGGTATTGGGTCATCTGTTGGGCTTTGACACTTGGGCCCTAATTGACCAACTGGATAAGTGTGTTTTGTACCAATTAGAGGATCATACCTTTGGATAATGCCCAATAAGGAGTTGGGCCCAATTTGGAAAATTAGGCCAAGTGTGGGCTTGAAGTGATTTGGGCCTTTTGGATCAAGATTTGGGTTTGGCTTGCATTGGGTTGTTTTTCCTTTTATTTAATCCCAAAAAGAAATTAAATGAAAATGAAAAATGACAGATAATTCAACTAAAAAGACAACTTATGACATTTCAGATTCTAGAGGACATTTGACAGTTTTCATATAGGGTGCACTTGTGTTCTCCAGGTTAAAATTTTTTGCCAACTCAAGAAAAAGGAGCATTTTGCCCCTTGATTAAAATTAACTTATATTTGGAGATATGTATAATTGATACTAATACCCTTAACAAATGTTCTGATAAACACACGACAGACAAATACAAGGGTATGGTCGTAACTTGAGTTAGAAACAAATTTATTTACAGAATTCTTGAAAAAACATTTATGTTATTTGCTAATGTCCAATGATCGTCAACACCAGTCTTTGGTAACTTCATTACCTTAGAAAGTTAAACAATAACATCAGGAGAGGAGTGTAAACATGTATGTCTAGAACTAAGAAAATCAATGGATGCAATAAAAAATGCAAAAGATCTTGAAGGAATAATTATTTTTGAAAAGTTATTTTTTTTAAATAACCTGTTGCATTGAGTCAAATGTAATTCTCACAAGTGTTTAAGGACCCTCCTATACCAATCATATTATTATTATTATTATTATTATTATTATTATTATTATTATTATTACAAAACAATAATAAATCATTAACTCGAAGAAAATATAAAACGTAATTTTTTAGAAAAAAAACATGAACTTACTAGAAGATTATTTACAAATCGACTGATAACACTACAAGCTCCACCTGTAGCACTAATTTGTATTGTATTCATTGATGCATCAACAAGAAAGAAAAAAGACAACTGACATTAGTTTCCGAACCTAAGAGGAGTATAAATTAAAAAGATATAGTCTTAAAGGTACTCATATGTGATAAGGAAGGTAGTCCAACTAATAAAACAAAAAACGTTGTTTACAAAGAGATCCTTCATCGATTATAGATATTCAAACATTTCATTGTCTTTTTCAATGTTACCAATAACGCTAATTCTATTTCTGTTACTTTTTTTCAATTATTGTGCAAATTTTTTATACTTTTATATGTTCGCCGCGTTTTACGCGGGTCATAATCTAGTTAGAAAACAAAGTAAAAAATCAAACAAAATGATTAATTATGTCATTTTACATTATTTCGATTCTATTTCATGTTGACCAAACAAATATGAAATTGTATTCCAATTCGGTTTCCAACCAATCAATCATAAAATTAGATTACAATTCATAACAGATTCGTATTATTTGATAGATTTCAATTCCTTTATAAATATTTTGCAAACCAACCACCAAATAAATTTTGTAACATACCTATATAACCGTTCCTTCGAACTCGTTGCTCTTTGACAATCGATCCCTCTACTTCTATGGCTCTTGTTCAATACTATGGATAAAAAGATGGACCTTGAACCAAATTAAAAGAAAAAGGACCAACAAAGAGACCAAATTTGTAATTTAATCAATAAAACATATTTCTTTTCTACAAAAAGCCCATTTGAATTTTCATTGATTACCAAAAGCACAAAAATGGCTTCAAAGACATTTGACCAAATTATAGCAATCTTGCATGAAAACTAATAAAACCATAAGCTTAAATCCAACTTCACATTCTTTCCTCTCTCTCTCTCTCTCTCTCTCTCTCTCTCTCTCTCTCTCTCCGTATCCAATTTCCTTCAAAACATCCCCACACACCCCACAAACGACACACTCACACACACACATACAACACACACATGCATGCCATTTATAGATCTTGATCATCTTCTTGTTGTGTTAATTTGTGTTATGTCTAGTTGTTATGGATACTCTGTTTAGGCTTGTAAGCCTCCAAAAACAACCCTCTCATCATCATCATCATCATCTCCACCAACACCAACAACAACATCATTCTATCAACTCCACCAGTAGAACTTCAAGCAGTTCTAGATCTTCCACCCAACCTCCATATCACTTTAATTACCAACAAGGAGAAGATCAAGAAGAATGCTTCAACTTTTTCATGGATGAAGAAGATTTCTCATCTTCTTCCTCAAGGCACCCCCACCAAAATCAGTACTACTCTTCTCAACAACCACAGACCTTCCACCACCAGTCTTCCGGTACGCCGACGCCCACAACCAGCACCACCAACACCAACACCCCTCCTCCGCCGTCGTTGTCCTACTATGGCTTCTCTTCTTCCGAACATCAACAGTCATCTGATCCCAACATTAACTACTCTTACTCTCCAGCCCGTGATGTCACCGCGGAGTTCTCTAATTCCTTCTCCGGCAACACCTGGTCTGCCGATGTTCTGCTAGACGCCGCCCGTGCGGTGGCGGATAAAAACAGCGGTCGATTACAGCAACTGATGTGGATGCTTAACGAGCTTAGTTCTCCATATGGAGACACTGATCAAAAGCTATCGTCTTATTTCCTTCAAGCGCTTTTCAGCCGTATGACGGATTCCGGCGACCGATCTTACCGGACTTTGACGTCGGCGTCGGATAAAATGTGTTCCTTTGAGTCAACAAGAAAACTGGTGCTGAAATTTCAAGAAGTCAGCCCTTGGACGACGTTTGGACATGTAGCTTGTAATGGAGCGATCATGGAGGCGTTCGACGGCGAGAGCAAATTGCATATAATTGATGTAAGCAACACCTACTGTACCCAATGGCCGACTTTACTTGAAGCCATTGCAACTCGCACCGATGAAACACCACATCTCCGTCTTACCACGGTAATCGCAACCAAATCCGGTGGTGGCGCTGCGGATTCCGGCACCGGAGTACAAAAGGTTATGAGAGAGATCGGAAATCGGATGGAAAAATTCGCTAGATTAATGGGTGTCCCTTTCAAATTCCACGTAATACACCATACTGGAGACTTATCCGAACTGAATTTGAGTCAACTGGGAATACAAGACGATGAAGCTCTTGCTATTAACTTAAACGGCACGTTACGTTCTGTCAACAATCATCGTCGAGATTACTTGATATCAACATTTAGAGGATTAAATCCTAAAATCATCACCATTGTTGATGAAGAAGCTGATTTGGATGTGGGTACAGATGGGTTTGAATTCGTGAGAGGTTTTCAAGAATGTTTAAGATGGTTTAGGGTTTACTTCGAAGCTCTCGACGAGAGTTTTCAGAAAACGAGTAACGAGAGGCTGATGCTGGAGCGGGCGGCGGGACGGGCGGTGATGGATTTGATAGCATGCACGCCGGCGGAGTCCATGGAGCGGAGGGAGACGGCGGCTCGGTGGTCCAGCAGGCTACATGCAAGTGGGTTTAGTCCTGTTTCATATAGCGATGAAGTGTGCGATGATGTCAGGGCACTTCTGAGGAGGTATAGGGAGGGGTGGTCCATGATTCCGTCGGAAGCGGCGGCCGGAGTATTCTTGACGTGGAAAGAAACACCGGTGGTGTGGGCAAGTGCATGGAAGCCGATATGATTGTGACTTCCACTAAAAAAGAAAAAAAAAAAAAAGAAAAAGCAAAAGCTGATGATGGCACGTGCATGGGAGGGTGTGAGTGGGTTTTTATGACTTTTTACTTTTTGGGAAGAAATGAAAAAATTGGGATTTTTGTTTATTATTATTATTATTATTTTTTAGATTTGTAGAGGTTGAAGAATGGGGTTTGACTTTGATTGAAGGTAACATATTTTCGTTAATATTCGTTTTCGAAATTGTCTTTTTTTTTTTTTTTTTTTTTTTTTTTTTTTTTTTTTTTTTTTTCTTAATATGAATTAAGATGGTTGTGGATTTAATTTTTAGATTAAACCACTCCCTCCCAACCCCTTCTTTTTGTAATCCTAATTTATGAATTATATATAGATAATTATGGAATCGTGAATTTGGATATGCATTTATTTAATTATGGTTTTGTATTTATTTAACTACATTTTTAAATACAAGAATCTGTTAGTTATACACTTCCACAATCATGTCAATAATATTATATATCTGTCCATTTTTTAATCAAAATATTTAGAAGAATATAGCAATAGAAACAATAATTTAACAAAAAAATGTACCTGTCTCGGTCATTGTTGATTATTTATTTAGATTTTTCGAGGATATTAAAATATGAAGTAATTGATATGGTTAGTTATCTCTAGAATTACTTCATAAAACCTATTTAGCTTCTTTTAATGCCAAACATAATAGAAATGGATTAAAGATAAGCTAGGAGACTACAATGGATCTGATTTATCATTGTAAAGCAATACCTAAACGGTACAGCAAGATACAACCTCAAACTAAAAAAGAGCACACATGATCAGTATATTTTATTATTCACTATTCTAAGGTGTTGTGTATTTTCTCAAAACAAAAATGTCTAAAGTATGCAGAGCATATCAAAAGAGGTGTTGTTTATTTTTAAAGTCTGGTTGTTGTAATAGATTGAAATTCACTATACAATATTTAAAAATAATTCTAAATCAAAAAATTATTTAGTTTAATAATATACATATCAAATATAAAGATCATTATGATGATACGAATTTTAAAAACTTTTATGTAAAATAATTAAACATAATATTTGCTGAATAGCAATAAATAAAATTGTTAATTTAAAAAAGACAAAACTGCAAAAATGGTCTATGTGGTATGCAGTTTTTGGGGTTTTAGTCCAAACCACAACTTTTTTCGATTGGTGGTCCTTTTGATCTAGTTTCTTTGTGTTTTTGGTCCTTTAGTAAACTGAAAAGACTATTATGCCCTGATATGTTTTTTTTATGCTTTTTCTATTTAATTTAAATAAAAAATAAAATAATTAACTAATTTGGGGTCCACATCTCTCTCTCCAATAGATCCCGACGACTCATCCTCTTCACCTTCCACCAAATTTCGGCGACTTCCAATGCTCATTTACAATCCTTGACCAAGTGTACACAAACACAGTAACTAACCCAAGAATCATATGTATGATTTAAATCTTTTTTGCTTCAATTTTTTTTTCCAGCAACGAATCAAAAAATTTAAACACAGTCAAACGCCACACGTTGGTTTCTTCTTCTTGTTCGCATCATAATTTCTAGATCTCTGATTCTTTTCTAAAATCAAAATGTTCTCTTCTTCTCTTTTTCTGTTTAATGGAATCTCAATCGACATCAAACATATTTCGCAAACCAAAACTTTTCTATTGTTGTGATCTGAGTTTGAACATTCGTGAGACTTGTACGATCGATGTTCAACACAAAAAAACCTACAATAGAAAATCGAAATTGATAGATTACAATTGAGATTCCATGAACATAATAAAGAGAATCGATTGAAGATTTCATGAGTTGTTCTTTCTGTGAAGGCTTCTAGGTAATAAGACGTCTGCTTGAACACACATATCAATTTCAAAAAACGAAAACCACACAAACATACAAATCAATTTCATATTCTTATTTTGGGGTTTTTTTGTTCAAAAAACAAAATTCGAAAACAAAACTGAAAACTCTATTGGTCAAACTCTATATAAAAAGAAATTAGAACCAGAGCCCAAATACATTCAGAAATTGAGACTTAAGTTTATCTACTTAAACTAACTGGGATGCATTGGTGAAATCAAAACCCAAATACGATGGTCTTTCTCATGATTATTCCAGTCGACATCATCCCCTGCTTACTCCTTCCTTCTTCCACCGTGAACCGCCGCAAATAAGGATGTTTAAAAGATCAAGTGGTAGAGGCCAGAAAGGGAACTACCTCACCAAAAGCTTACTTCTACTTCTAAAATCTCCAAAAGCACCAAGCATGAGCTCACAAGTTCAATGGAGCCTAGGGTTAGGGTTTCTAAGGTGAAAGGAGATTTGGAGGCTGAGGATGAACCCTAAAATGGGTTCAGAGAGGTTTAAATATGAAGGGAACCCTAAAATAATCATGGGCTTGGGCCTGATCAGCTGCCACGTCGTGGGACCTACACCATGTTGTGGTTGTCCAAAAGTCACGCGACCAAATTTGACCTCGCCACATTGTGGTGGTTCCTCCACCACGTCGTTGCCACAACCAAAAATAACGAATCCGCAAGAGAAATGTATCTCGAGAATCCGGGTGTTACAACTCTCCCCCACTTAAATTCGATTTCGTCTTCGAAATCGCTCTTAACTTCCTTCCAGGTACTCTAGACAACCTGGACAATACTCCCACAACCTTGATACGGACTGAGAAGTTGACGCAGACATACAATGGCCTTCCAAAACTATAACCGAACCTAATCTTAGCAAGGATCTCATACCCTGACGACGAATGGAGCCTTACCCCACTAGCATTAACCACAGAAGAGTATCCATCGCTACTCTGCCCGAAATCCAAATCCTAAAACCTTGTGTGACTGCCCGACATACATACCCTTCAGAATCACTGCCAAATCGAATCCACTTCGTAACCTAAATTGAGCATAAACCCTTCCAACCCTCGACTATCTTGTTGTCTCTACTGGGAGACAGAATCCCTGACCATTAATTGCTACCGAAAACTATTCACTTGATAGCAAGGCGACTCCTAACACGATTCTCAATCATGGGTACCCTCTCAGACTCACCACCATACTACCTGACAACCTAGTGAATGCTACGACCATTCTCGCAGTATTACAACACTTCTATACCGCCTGCCAACCTAGTGAATGCTATTGCCACCCGTGCAGTCTTACAACACTTTTATGCCAACCTAGCTATAGCCACCCCCACAATCTTACAACACTTCTATCACCCTCTGCCAACCTAGTAAATATTATGGCCACCCCGTAGTCTTTCAACACTTCTGTATTGCTATGGTCCCAACCCATGGTCTTACCGCTCATCTGCCATACCAACCATAATTATCATGAGTCAAAAACGCATCCGACTATACCCCAACCAAGTGTTTGGGTTATGCTTCGAATCCCAAAGCCTTAATCAGACAAGAATAGGCAGAGAGTCCGTAACACAACCCTTAACCTGTTCCCGATCACATACCCAACATGTGTCACTACAAATGCGCAAGGTAACCTAAATAACCATTCCTGTTCAACCTTTAGTCCAAACAATTCTTCCCCACTTGGACTCGACCGCGCTCTTCCAATCCACAAAAATTGATGGATTTCCAATCCGTCTCATAACCTTACAATTTAAACTATCGACAACATGAGTTTACAAGAACTAGAATTCCATTACTAGCCAATCTTAGTGTTCACATACATTCCAAAACCAAACGAATACTTCTCGAAATCTCAACGAGCTCACAATCCCAAGTACTTCCCATTGACTCCACCACAAGTCCTCAGCGACTTATCGGATGACAAAGAACAACATCTCAAATATCGAAACAGGTACCCAACCTATTCCACGACCTACTTGCACTTAGAGCAAATCTCATGTGAACCTATAACTGACCACAATACGAAGGTATGAACTTGAAAATTGCCGATCTTACACCCACGATCAAACCAATTCCTCATTTCCTCGAAACCATAAAGAGCCCTATATATCCTGCATCCAAACTGGGCATGCCCACCTTGCGGGTTTTTTTAGTTCCTGGTGATACCACCAGAGATCAAATCGACTACTGATCTTTTCTCACTTTAAGCTTGTTTCGATGATGATTCATGCCTCCTACATCTAAATCCAAAACTAGCTCACCCAAAATCCCCTAGACACGACCCTCGATATGCAAAATGGCATATGAAGATTCTCAAGATAAATTGTTTAGACCATAAAGATGAAAACTTTAATTTCTAGGTGGAGACTTAGATAAACCACACATAGCGTCTCAAACACAAACATAAATTCATAAACACAATTAATAAGAGCATGAAGGAAGTGAATACAACACGTACCTGCGACATCCACTGATGGAAATCAGATTTCAAGACCATACAAGTTAGGGTACTTACACCCCACACCAGCTTCAATGCTTCACTACCAAAGTACTTACCTTGACACAATTCCAAATCCTTGAGCCACTTAAGTTGGTGACAAAGAACTATAATCCCTCGATTGAAATGGACGGATCACTAATTCACCTACCCACTTGCTGAAAAAGAAACCGATGCACTCAGAAATTTTTTAGCAAAGTCCATTTAAATCCTCTTGACAACTTCAACATCTAAACAAGCCCATACGATCAATTCATCACCTACACTCTGGATTGATGGTTCACTACTAATCTTTCCATACCAGCAGAAACAACCGGTTCGAAGCCTGTCAATAAGCAACTGACATCCAACCTGAACGACACAAGTGTTCCTGAATCCTGACTTTGTTGTCTCAGAAGGGAAACATCCGGCTTCCAAGAGATCTTTTTCTAAAAGCTTTTGATGCGAGGTCCACACTCATAATTCTGAAAACATGAATTTGGAAGTTACTCATCCTGCACTCGTGTTCTGAACAATCCATTACACCTATTAATGGTGACAGATCTTCAATAGCTCAAATTACAATAATCTCATGAACTTCCTCTACAACTCCTTCCGACCC